TCCTGCTGATGCCAAGACATGCCCTGATTCTGTACATAGCAATACAGCACACAACATTTAAGAGTGCCAGTGTTGACTGTAAAGACACATCACTCACTGGAGGAAAACAGCCACATCTCCCCCTTATAAACCATTGAAAAAGACCTGGTAGCTTTGGCTGCTTAAAAAATATTCAGATAGACCTACTCTTTATATCTTTTAGTTTGCACAAAGGATTGAATAAAGCTTATAAGCAGCCTTTAAAAATATTTCCCCGTTCCTGTACAGGAGTAATTTTTAGTTTATAGTTTCAAGACGAAAAGTCAATCACTAGTTTTTTATCCTAGAACAAATGTTTACAACAGAGATACTAAACACTTGAAAACAGAGTCGCTTATAATGGAAGCGACATCTCATCTTCAACTTTGGAAGGACAAGCAGTACCAATTTAATTAAAGCTGTGTTAAAATAGGGCTGTCATTTGTATCGCAGTGATTCTCCGCCCCTCCGAGAAGTCCTGCTGCCATTTTGTACCATACATTCTTGGCTTGTGCAAATTAATAGATCGTTTTATTTTCCACAGGAAATCTGAAGACTTTTATAGCAAATCCTCCAGTGTCAGAATGAACACAGGTATGCTGCTTCTGTGAGATTTTTCTTTCCTTTTACGTGTTCGTTTAGTAAGCAGAGAAGGTCCTAAATTTATTTAAATTTTCATGAACAAATTGTACTTCAGTTGGTGCTGAACTCAAATTAAGCAAGATATTTTAATAGTACCTCTGCTTATGTGCATTTGTATTCCATATATAAAATTTACATACATATTGTTCTATGTATGGATATATATGGATATGTGAAATATACTTGCATGTTTAGCTTTCTGTGCTTAAGTTATAAATATCAGTTTTGTATATATATGTTTTATGTAAAAAATATGAGTATGAGGACATAACAGCTATGGAAAAGTGGTGTTAAAGCATCACACCTGCTTAGGGACATGGTTTAGTGGTGGGAAGGCAGTGTTAGGTTCACGGTTGGACTTGATGATCTTAAAGGTCTTTTCCAACCTAAACGATTCTATGATTCTATGTTTTTCCTAAGAAAATGCACATGCTTTAAAAATGCTTTATTTTCATTCTCTCCTGTCATTAAATTAAGGGGCATATAAATACTACCCTGTATTATTAGCTACGCTTGCATAATCAGATGAGGATAACTATTTGTATTTGCAGGGATCTGTATTTTCTCTCAAGTTGCTGTGATAGATGTATTGACCAAACGAAGTACTCTATAGGAAGTTATCTTCACGGTCTGTGACAACACACTAATATTTGGTCCTGAATCATTGTAGTCAGTAGTGCTGCTGGTTATGCTGGAAGTGGAAATAGTCCTCTCAAACGCAGACTGGTGAAATCCTGGCCTCAGTCACGTCAGGTGTAAATTTTCAGTTGCAGTCAACTCTTTATACTCCATAGGGGAACTGTCTGGTTTGCAGACTAACTGTGGCACAAGGATAGACACATCCATCCTTTCCAAATCAGTTGGTCTTATCATTGACCATGGCACTGCACCCTAACAACTGACATGACAACTTGAAATAAACTAAATGTGTTATGTGGGACCTGAGGACCCTGAACTACCTTTGAAGCCAGTTTAGGTGTTTCAGCAGCACACTCTTAAGTCGAAGTGATTAGCTTTTCCGTGGTGTAGCCGTTATCTAGACCGCTGCATATTAATCAGGATTCCTGGCTTCCCATTGTCTCAGACAATGACTGGAGCTCAGTAGGACCAGGTTCTTGGACAGATTTTTTTAAATATGAAGTTAAAATATATTGCCTCACTTGAAACCACTAACATTTGTAAATATAATAATCAGGAGAAATGAAATTTCTCAGTTGAATTTGTAGGGGTTTTCCCAAAGTTTTTGGTTGTTAATTATTTTACAGATGCTAACCAGGGTGGTGTGGTTTTCCTTTATGGAAATACTATTTGAAATTTGTCCTATCCTCTTGCATTTTTAGTGAAGACTTCTTTCTGAAACATGTCAGTCTATATAATTAAGGTAGTACTGAAAATACTGCTTGCTTCATAGAACTGTAATTTCAGAAGTAACTCAGCTAATCATCATACATTTGACTGTGATTACATTGTGCATTGCAATCATAGGAGTTAAAATCATATGATAGATGTCATTTTATAGCTTCTACTTTGAAAACTGTGGATAGTGTCAGAGTGGTAAATTGCCAGTTTGTGCTACTGCAGCTCTGAAGTATGACTTTGTTCTGTTTTACTAAGATTCTTCACATAAGCTAGAAATCTCAAAGAGAAATAGGTGTAAGATATAAGTAATCTGTGTGGCTGAATGACTTCTATTGGGAGTCTTCTGATCATACAGGAGCCTTGAAAAATGTCTTAAAAGACCTTGAACACACTGAAATACTTTCCAGTTACCTAGGGATATCATGATTGTTCGCTGAACTTCAATCTACTCTGCACTTACACAGCGAAAACATTTTTCATCTTGTGTATGCTTGATATTAATGTGCATGTTGCCAGCTGCGCTAAAAGGAAGTATTGACAAAAAATGTGGTATTGATGTAGACTGTTTCCTGACTGTAAAATAAATAAATAAATAAATAAATAAAAAATCCAATGAGTAGGCTGTAAAAGTGAACGTCTTGCACCTATCTGTTGATAAGATAAAGCATGGCTTTACTAGGGAAGAGAGTGACTGAGGTGGAAGGTGTTCTGCATGGTGTTCTAGTCTGGTTGTTTCTCCCCCACCACCCCCATGTTGTCTTTGAACATAATATAAATGCTGCAGGTTTGGTTTGTTTGGAGTTTTTTTTTTATATTTCACTACTTTATAACAGGAATTTGTGCATGACATAGTTGGATACTATCAGATGGTATTGATTTGCCACTAGTTTTTTTTAAAAATATGCATGTCATTAATTACTCCTGCAGGTAAATGAGCATTCTAGTTTGATGCTGGTAACTGCTGAAGTAGCAAAGCTAGTGTGTGTGCAGCTTTAAGCAATAGATTTACTTTTTCTTTTTAGAGTGGGCTCCTCTAATCCAGCATTCCCTGTGGCTGCAGACTTGGCAGTCTGTCTCAGCAAACCCTGCAGAAGATATTTTTGTCTACAGCGAAAATGTTTTGAAGAGTTTTGGTTTTCAATACTCTACCATATATGGGAGGGATTTTTTAGCATTTTATGTTAATTCTGTACTACATGTAAGGAAGGAATATTCAACAGCATAAGGCAATGAAACATGTTTGTAAAAGCAAAGAAATAGATGCAAAATCTAGGAGAGGTTTTCAGAAGGACCAAAGGTACTTTGGCTTATAGTTCCTTTTGCTATTCAAATGCTGTCATAATTTAAAAATAGTAGCCTAATAGAATGTGTGCCTTTTTAAACCCAGACTAAGCAGTCATAAACAGAATAACATTTTAAACTATATATAGGGGGTTTCATCAACAAGCCTTCAAGTACTTTACAGATTTGATGAGCATCATTAATTTGGTGAGGTGTTTTGAGAAATAAGTCACAGAAAACCTGAGCTACCCATGAAGCTCACATCAGATTAAAACATAGGATAAATGTGCTTATTGTTCATTCTGCATATGTGCATGCATAGCTGGTGTTGGGGGAGAGGTAATTGCATTGAGGAATAATGAACGGATACAAGTTAATATGCTAAAACAGATGCTTAGTGTCCATCCGTAAATATTTTGGCTGAGTTTCACACAGATAATTCTTGGTAAATGCATCTAATTTTAAAAATATTAAACAAGTTAGCTGTTTGCAGTAAATGAAGCACATAAAGAGCAGCCAAGAGTGAAAAAGTATGCAGTTCTGGAAGACTGCAAATACTTTGTGTTTGTTAAAATTGTTAATGGAAGTCATCACGTGCACTAATCTCTTACCTTTTGTCTGGGAAACAAGAATAGAAGTTCGTGGGTCCCTGCAGAGTCCCTGAATAGATTGTGAAGCCACTTTAGATCACTAAAGCAAATTAGGTGGGCTTGAGTGTTTCAGGCGTTCTACAAAAAAAAAAAAAATATTTTTTTAGTCATTATTTGTTGCAATTTAGCAGCATCAAAGAACCAAGCAATAGTAGGTTCACCTGTGTGGTCAGTCTTAGGTTATGTGATAAAAGCTGATCTGCACACCCACGAAAGAGCTTGGAGAAACAGCAGCAGGAGGGGAAGCCCAAATAATAGTGTGCCCTGCCAGGCTACTCCCAGGCCCATCACAGGAGCCATCAAAGGCCCATCTCCACTAGCCTAGAGGAGCACAAGGGCAAGCAGGAGCCCAAATTAAGGACTCCCAAGGAATGAAGAGGGGCACAAGGGCCTCCCTTGTCCAGGCCCCTCCCAGGACTGTCCCAGGAGAGCCTCAGCCCTGGGGTCCAGCCATGGATTGAATGGCAGACGCAATGTCTGGGCCCAGTTGCTGGAATGATCCACCTTGTACATGCATGCATATATGTTCTTGCTAGTGGACCTTCGTCCTGTTCAGTCAGAAAGGGGAGGGGGATGAGGCCTTTGTGCCATCTGTGTTAGCGTGAGTGCTCTGAGTGTTTGTGAACTGTGTGGCCAGCTGTGTATGTCTGGTGTACACATGTGCTATTTCACATGTGTCTGCCGGAAACACGTCTCCAGACACACTACTGGTTGGACCTGGGGACGTGGAGAGGCAGCAGCTTCATCTGTCTTGGACTGTTGGATCCAGTGTTATCTGTTTGCCTCAGAAGGTCAGAATGCAAATAGTTAGTAAGAATCCCTGGTCTAAAGACTTCTAAACTTGAATTCACTGTGCAGACAAAAGGGAAAATTATACTGTTCACAAGTACAGTGGATGGAATGATGATCAGCAAACATTATGTGTTTGGGTGCCACTTTTTGTTTCTTTGAGCTGTAAGAACTTATTAAAAATTTCCTGCCCCCTGGCTGCTCTCTTTCACTTCTTCACAAGAGGCCACCATCCTTTCATCTTTGCCACCTTGATTTGTGACTTTACAGACTTTCTGAAACAGTCTTTTAAAAAAACAAAAAAAACCACCCCATGTTCCTAAATAAAAGTGGTGGTGTTTTGAATTGGCCCCGTTCTGCTTTGGAGCAGGACCTGACCAACAGACTATTTGTCAGAGATACAGCTCGCTTAGGGTGATGCTGTCTGTAGTGGGAGCAGTTGGGATTTTGTGGATTTAGGAGGAAAGGGTTAAAGTACTTATTTGTGGAGAGAAACAGAATTAAGGGATGGAGAGAGAAAGAAGTGAGGTAAGGTGAGGAATGGAGAAAGGCTAAAGAGAAAAATTGTAGGAGGGGGGAGTTGGCAAAGGGAGAGGAGCTGAATGGTGAGCTAACAAGAGGAAGAGAGCATCCAGAGCCCCACTGCAGCATTAGGATGTGTACGCAAATGCACACATCCTCCTAGCTGGGGGGAAAGCCACTGCCTTGCCTTTGTCTTTTCCAATCAGTGGGTAGCTGGTTCTTTTTCTCTCTTTAAAGGTTAAGTCTGCAACATTGACCCTAGCATTCAGGAGATCGTCCCTATATGGCCCTTGCTCTGCAAGATACTGTCAGAATCACGTCTCGCTAGATAATCCTTACCTCTCCTTTCTCCTTCATTTTCTGCAGTATCTGCTAAAGATGCTTATTTGTCTTTTCCTGATTTGATGGGAGTATGTAGGGCTTCCAAAAGAATATCTAGGCACAAACCATGCTAGGTCCTGATTTGAGCTGGACTTTCATTTTAGGCAGCTGTTTTGATCGTGAATTATTGCCTGCAGACCTTAGCTGATTCAGGTCTCCTTTGCTTCAATGTTAAAACAATACCTAGGAAGACAGGACTCTCATTCCTGAAGTCTTTGTCTTGTCAAAAGCATAGAGAATTGTGCATATGTGTATACATATTTGCACACATTTCCTTTTTTTATAAATGCATACATTTTGTATAGATCATTTCACATATCCTTGTTTGTTCCTTGAATAACAGCTGTGCAATATTAATTGCTTATAGTTTGCTAGTGAAATGAGCAGATGATCATTAATTCAGCCTCCCTTACTGCTTTTGATTTCTCTGTTCTCTAGACTTTGAGCTTTTTGGTGTTATTTGGGCTTCAGGAATCTGGGTGAATATAGTTAGTATTTGCTGGAAATTTCATGGAGCTATGAAAAAGGAATACAGGCTGGAATAAGTCTCTTGAAGTTCAACTGTGTAAGGCAGTGCAGATAAGGGAAGCAGTTTGAAAACGGCCTCTTCTGAGGATTCAGATATGATGCCCTTGACTTAATTGGAGCCTAGCCTGAACAAAGATGGGAAGATGGAGTCCATCATGCATAAATATGTGCTTGCCCCCACACATTTGTATTTTATTAGAAATTTTGCACAACTCAATGTGATATATTTGTGTGGTTATGTCTTAATTGAGTACTAATTGACTCTCATTATTTTGTACAGATACTAAGAATGTTATTGCAGGTACAGACTTGCATATGGGCTTCTACATATGGGGTAAATGTTGTATGCATATATGTATATAGTCAGTTACAACATCTGTTTTAAGCTATCTTGTATGAAGCCATGTCAAACACTTTGCTAGATACGGCGTCCATGAAATATAAAAATCTGACTCCGTTTAGTTACATCAACAATTAATTTGAGGCAGAATTTCTTGAAGTTACACTGATGAAGTATTTGCAGTTAGTTTTCCCGTCAACTTCCTTTCCTTCCACTTCAGTTTCACTATCCTGAAACTCAGGAAGGTAACTCTTGAAAAACTATAAATAAAGCATCGCCTTGTTTGAATAAAAGATGTGGCAATATAACAAAATTGTTTGCCTGGTAGCTTGTATTAATCAAATAAAGTATGCTGTCAAAGTCTGCCAATATTCGGATAAGAACATAACCTCAATATCAACACATCATCAAATCTCCTTGGAATTACTTCTGGTGTATGGCGGGGGGCGAGAATACAAGAATGGAAAATATGATTTTAATTACCATTGCCATTCTATATTTATGTAAGCAAACTAAAACAAATCTGCATTAGATAGCCATTGTCTTTGTTTCACATGGACAACACCAATAATTAATTGTGGGTAATGTATTGCTTTCGACTATTGCTGACTGAAATCATTTGGCCTCTTGCCTTGAGACTTGGAATTGGCAATGAGTCTTTGGAACCGCTTACACCTGGGGCAGTGGCTCTGATGTTTGCCAACGTTAACAACTACTTAATGCATATCCTGCAAGACCTGTGGCCAGAGGGCTCTGCTGTTTCGGGGGAGTATTGGAAGGAGCAAAGAAATACCAGGACCTCACTTCTCTTGCAGACATGGGTTAAAGATGTCTCTGTGGCTCAAATTACTGCTATCGTAGGAAATACTTTCTACTAATAGGTTGCAGGTCTTCCTTAAGCATAGTTTTATAAAACTCCCTGTCATAGGACACAGATATAAAAACTGTTAGGGCCTCTATCGTAGTTGTGATTCTTCTTGACTTCAGTGGGGCCCTGTATGAAATTTCAGTAATATAAACTATGAAAATTAATTATTATATTGAAGAGCAGAAAAATGTTCTGGTTAAATACAATCAGAATGAGTATTTATTAACTTGCTTTTACAACTATGATAGGGTTGCTAAAAAGCTAAGTTGTGGGAAAGCTACCTTCTAATAATAACCAAGTATTTATAAAACAGAATGACAGCTCCATGTGAGAGAGGAACAGAGAGTAAGGAAAGGAAGGAGTCATGCAAGATCCAGAAGAAAGGTTTTTTCCATTCCTGGTTATTCAGAGTGCTTTTAGATTTCTCGTATTTCCCTCGGGATATTATTGGGTTCCAGACACACTTTTTTTAATTTTCCATTAGATGAAAAGAAGAGGGGGAAGGGAGAACAAGGATGTTACACCAAAACAACAACAACAAAAAAAAATGCCATCCTTAGTAATTTTTTTTCTTGAGCTTAAAGGATCCAAAAGGCTGAACAAAAGCACTTTGTCAGCTGATCAAATATAAGCTTAATTTATGAATGGTGTCTTTCTAGTGCATACAATGAAATGATTTTACAGTGCAGATTATTGATTAATATCACTCTGGAATGCTTAATCCTTCATCTTGATTACTTGTTTGTTTATACTAATTAGCTATAATTAAGCAGTCTTTTAGGTAACAGAATGTATATATTTCCCTAGTGGATTAAGTATCAAATATTTGCTTTCTTTACTTATTTTCTGTGAGGTTTATTGTTGTTTAAAGCTTGTGAAATTTTATGTATTCTGCTAATCTGTGAAACTTGCAAATTTACACATTCTGCAGCAGTTCCCTAACTGCATGCTTATTTTCATGTATGTTTGGCATATCTGACACTGTGATATGTGGCATGTGCTTGCTCCCTTTGTCTGGGGCTGCTGTCTGTATTGTTTTGTGCTTCCAGATAGCGGTGGGTGTGCTCGCAAACGTGCTGCAATGTCTGTCACATTAACAGCTGTGAAGAGAGTTCAGAGTTCTCCAAACCTATTGGCCTCAGGTATAACCGCTAACCAGTGAGACACTGCTCCTGAATGGCTTTTCTATAGTGTTAAGCATTCCTCCTTACTCTGCCAGGAGAAGGGTAACCGTATGTTGTATTCTACTGACAGGTCTGTTACTTCTACAGTGTTCTTTAAAGAGTAGTCTTAATTACTCTCTGCCTATGCTTAGTAGCTTTAATGAAAAAAATTAGGAAAACTCAGGAAAATCAGTTATTTATAAATTAATTTTGCCTTTGATATGTATTTTGGGTCTCATGTCCCCCTTTTTTTTTTTTCAAGATTACATAGCATGAAAAGTAGGGTTTGTTTATTACAAACTTTTTTTATTGCAACTTGCTTTAAAAACTATTCTCAAAGGAAAAGTCTGAATGTTGTTGTTAAGTGATTGTCAGAAGCCAGATTAACTTTAAAAAAATCATTTATCAAGCATGTTTTCCTAAAAATCTTTACAACGATAAAAACATGCATAATATTCCATAGACAGGCAGAACTGCTTCTCGGCAATACTCACGTCTGGCTTTGCAAAATTAAATCTTAATGGGTATCAGCTGCCCAGGTTCACTGGTCAATTAAGTAGTTATGGGTATAAATCAGTAAAGAATCTTGAGTGGCGTAGATTAATTTACACCAATCTGAACATGCAGTGTTCACACCAAAGAAGTATAATAAAGGAAGCTGAATAAAGAATGAGCCAAAAAATAATTGCAAGATTAAGTCTTTGTTTTGTAGATCTTTTAAAATGTAAGACTAATCCCCAGGAATAAGAACTGTTAGAATTTATGAAGGAAATTAAAAATTTGGTTGCTACTTTTTGTAAGGATAGTGGAAGGGTTATTGGGATTACTGCATGTATGTAAATTTAAGAAAACATTGGGTTCTTATTTCTTAGCAATGTTTCTAACAAATTTTTATCCTTCATGCAATACAAGCCTCTCAATGTCTTGCTTTGTTGCATTTTAAATTAGTGATAAGGAGTGCTCTTAGTGCTATAATTATTGTACATTAAAAATATTTTAAATTTGTTCAGAGATTGTAATTGTAGTTTCTTTAGGAGGAAAAAACGGTAATATATCTACAAGTAATCCAGAAAACCACCAGAATTTCAAATCTATTCTGTGCTGGCAGTATGTATGTATCAGTTTCTATGTTTTGCTTTGAAGTGATGAAGAAAGCATCACACATTCTGCTGTGAAGGGGGAGAGAAAATCCTGACAGAATCTATAGGCATCTTTCTTTGTTTTGAATTAAACCTTTCCAGCACATCTTAAAGGAATTATATTTCTTTTGATATCTAGATTTTAGGTGGTAGTATATCACAGTATTTACTGGGGAAAAAAACACAGCAAATGTTTCTTTATTATAGGCTGTCTGAAATAGCAGTGATAAATAACAGTAATGCTCAACACACTGTAATCTTCTGTAGAAGTTGTGCAATAAACATTGCACAGTTACCTGTGGTCTAATATTCTGAGGTATGCTTAGGCAGCTGAACAAAAAGACTCCTAGATATTTTTTAAGTCGTGCCACTACTTTTTTATTTTTAACACAAATTAATATTGGATGTTTCTTTTTCAGGGTCTGATTCTCAGTCTCCAGATTCAGGTAAATAAAACGCTGTATTATTTATGCATCAGTATAATACTATCTAAGTGGATGAATTATAACAATCTTCCATTTATGTGATTTCATTATTCCATAGATCCACATTCTTTCACTGAAATTTTAATAATAATTGCAAGTGGTTAAGACCTCAAATTCAGGTCTCATTTGAAAGCAGTATTTCCTATAACACACTGTGTGTTTTCAGAAAATGAATTGTGTGGGAGAGTATAGACTGCTAATTTGCCACCTCTAGCTTCAGTGGCACTTGCTATTTCATTTTTAGTCCCTTACTCAGGATTGCAAGTTCTGCCCACCCCACTTAGCAGCCTGCTCACATAATGTGTTACTTTTCCCAGCCTCTTACAGTATTTCGTCTTCAAATCTGTAACTTATTGAGGCAGGATAGTATCTCCCTCTATTTTTGGGCAATTCCTTGAGAGCTTTTCAGCGCTGGGGATAGAGACAAAGCATGGTTGTTGGGTTGGAAAATCAAGGTGTCATTTAGATTTTGAAATTAGCTGTTCCAATAATGCATCTTATCGGGTATTGGAGTGCAATTTGGTAAACTGCCATGACCGACTAACTTTACATAAACTGGGATGTTTTTCAAAATCCAATGCAGCTGTGAAGTTCAAGAACCTAATCTGTGAAAGTACTTCAACCTGCTTTATACAGTGGCTGAAGCACCAGCATCTCAAAAGGTCTCCCAAGGTTAAAATCCAGTCTGTATGAATGTTGTGGAGAGATATGAAACTGCTACCAGCAGTATTGTCAATGCTTGACTTTTCTGAATTTTAAAGAGAAATATTTTGTAACCCTGTTTTAGTAACTTCCATGATGGTAACAGCAGCAGTGTCAGTTGAGTAGTAGCTAAACTTTTCCGGTTTGTTTAATAGCTGGGTTGCTATGGTCATACCAATATAGAGATCTGCTAATCACATAAGAAAATTTATTTGATTCTTTTTTCCTCACAAAAGCTTGGAGATCTTACAACGATGGAAGTAGAGAGACACTGAATGGAGATGCTAGCAGTTCATCTCTTACAGCAAAAGGTTTTAGGAGCGTGCGGCCAAATCTACAGGATAAAAAATCACCTACTCAGGTAAAACTGAACACCAGGTTTCATGCTTTGGCATTTGTGGGGGGGTTATTCTTGGGAGATTGCATATGTAGGTGGGAAACCTCTATGGAACATTGTCTTGATGTCTTCCAGATAGTATGAATCACCTGTTTATATCAGTTGTTACAAACTGGTTTACTGCGTAGATAAAATATATTCCACACAGGATGCATGCCTCCAGGTTAATTACCAGAAATTGCTTTCAATGAACAAGACAGCCAGCTAAATAAAAGTAGGTCATACACAAATAAAAGCTTTCTAGGGGTGTTCCCAGACTTCAAAGAGTATTTATTAATATTTTACACTCTAAGAAATGCATCAGTCATCAAAATAATATCTGAGGATAACAGCTTATTAATTAAGGCGGACAATGTTTCTGCCTGATTTGCAGAAGAGTATAATTAGAGCGCACTTAAAAAAAAAAACCCACCACTTAACTTGGAAACATTTATCTGTCTAAAAAAGAACAACATACCACCATCAATACTGTCTCTGTTACTCTTTTAATTCAGAGGTTTAAGAGGCTCTGTGTGTTTTATGTATGTGTGTTACCTGTGAATAGTAGCTTGTTATCGAAGATCATGGAGTACCTTTTGGAAATTTCTGAACAATTTCCCAGTAATAATTTTGATTCAGTGTAATAATTGGGGTTTTTAAAAGAAAATGGACTATTGTGGGCTCTCTTCTGATCCCAGCTTACTCTAAGCAAATGGAACATATGGCTGTCTAAACAGAAGCTGTACAGCCCTGCACAGTGAAAGATGGTGGGAACCTGACCAATTCAATTGTCCGTTGAATTGAGCAATGTTGGGATGAAGCCCTTAAAGTTGTTAGTTCCTTTATTTAAAGATAAAAGTCAATCTGAGTTGTATCTCCTGCTAACATTTACTTTCTTTCTGTTTCTTCTTCAATGTTATTTGCTGTGTGTGGATGCTTTTGGCAAATAAGGCACCTCTGCCACCCCCTAGAAAAGAAAGTTTTCGGAAAGCAAGAGTAACTAATCGCAAGAACGAAATTAATCTCCAGGCAGTAACAACCTGTTCAGCTAAATACCTTCCCACAGATACTGCCTATTACACTAACGAGAAGTCTGTCCAGAAGACAATGGCTTCTCAAATATCTAACACAAGTGTGTCGTATGCACAAAAAATCATTAAACCACTGACCTCAATCTCCAGTGCAGGCACAAGCACAGTAGCTGGTATTAGTACTACTCTCCATCAAGGCCAAAAGCAACAGTCTCAAAAACGTAGGGTATCTACCCTGAAATTAACCCGGACACATGACCCAGCAAGTAGCATTCATTGTAATACACAGCAAGAGCTCAAGCCTGTTGAAGTGCCAGTATTTCCACAAAGGCCTGTCTCACCTGCCTGTAACCCTGTGCCTGAGATACACACGGCATCTCTTTCCATTCAGATAGCTCCCATCCCTGACAATAAAGCAGAGCCTGAAATCCAAGAACATCCACCTAGTATTTCTCCAGACACTTCAAAGATGTCTTCAAAGGATTTGGGACAAAAGTCTGCAGTTCTTCCTTCTTCACAGGCTGCAGAATGCCATGTGGTATATTTAATTTTTCCATCTTTTATTTTAGATCATTCATGAATCACTTAATAACCTTCTGTTTAGTTATACTTACATTATCAAATCTATACCTTGTGTTTTCTGGGTAAAACTACCTGTCATGTGGATCAAACCAGAACTGAACAACACCTGAAGTTTTTGGAAGGGTATTGCAAAAAAAAATTGTTAACCCGTCTGAGCTGGAAGGTAGACTGCTTTTTTCCTCTGTGAGCACTTTATGGAGTTCAAATGCACAATCGGAAATTAATGAATTGTAGGTGATGCATCTACTTAAGTGGCTTTTCCTAGAGGGGCTTGCATTAAAGCGTTATGCTGCCAATATGTGCTGGAAGGATCAAATAGAAAAGAGTTGGGGCAGTTTCTACAAATGCAGCTCTGCCAGTTTGCTAGGGCCATCAAAAAATGTATTTTCTCAGTCAGTGCTTTCTGCAAGGCTAGTCACCGCTGTCTCCTATGTGTCCTGCGCAGTAGTGCTTTTTAAAGAAAATGGGTGGATAAAATGTCTTGTCAACCTCTTCTACATCAAGCATCACAAGGCACTGAACTTTTAATTCCCTCTGTTTCCCCTATGCCTACTGAGATGAAAATTCTTTGTTAATTATACTGATCTTATCTAGGAGAAATGAGAATATGAAGCACACACTATAGGACCAGAGGAGTCCGAGCAGGGTTTATCACCATTTAAAAAGTTACCGAGTCAAGTAAAATAGGACTGGGAGCAATAAAGCAGCAGTGAATACCTACTAGGCAAAAGGAGAGCTCTGAATCAATTTTGTTGTTTCTACTCTGCTTTACCTAGTCACGTTAAGATTTTTCTATTTTAAAAGTTAATTATTCTAGTGTATCTACAATACACCAGCTTATCTAAGTTTGAAAGCCCTTCAGTTGGAGGTAGGGATTGCTATAGGTCTAGGCATGTCTGCCTCAAAGCTTTGTCTGAGCAAGGATCCCATCATGGCATATTTGTGTTCATTTAGTTCTGTGGAAATCAGTGGGGCCACTCTGAAGTGGATACAGCACAATCTTGCAAACTTAAGGTCCATTGACAGCCTTATGGTCAATAGTAGTAACACATCTGGGCTCTCAGACTGGCGTTCTTTCAGAGCATCACATTAAGCAGGTCTTTACTCTGGAAACCACAAGTAGATGAATTAGCTACAGGATTGTTTTACAAGTTGTAATATGTCGATTCCCCCCCTCAACTCCCAAGTAAAAAAGTTGATCAGAACAAAGCTCTGTGAAATTATATGGCAACAATTTGCAATGCTTCTTTTGAATTCACTCCATTAACAATAGGGAGCACAGAAGAATTAATCACATTTGACCTTCTCAAGATTAGAGCCAAAACTATCATCTTAAACCCTTCTGTTAAGCTACATAAAATTTAGAACATTTTGAGAAAAACAAGTTGCTTTACCCTTAAAAAGAACCAGTTTACTACTTAGTGGTTTTTGTCAAGTAGAACAATTCAGTTCAAGCAAGAGCCACGGTAAATAAATCGGGTCAGAAATGGTAGTGAAGGCTGAGGAAGGAGCTGCTTCTGGTAGGCAGGGTAGGTATGAAGATTATAGGCTTGCAAGCCTTTTATATAAGGCGTCAAGGGATACGGTAGACAGTATAACGGGGTAATTGTGGCCAATACAACTTACAGTCTGTTTACTTTTCACTTAAAAAGTTGTTCAGCCTATTAGCAATATGATGCATTATACATGCTCAGATAAACCAAAATGTCTCTCAGACAGAAAGTAAGTTTATGACAGCTAATAAGAATTAGGAGAAATACCTTTTAATGATCCAGAATAATACTCAAACTCTAATCAGTGACTAAAAATGATGTATCGTCTAGCTACTTTTTTTTTTTATTTTAAAAGTCAAAACACATTTTGTAATTTCTTTTGATTTTATAATCTGTTTTAGTTTCACTGTGAGCTGATAAAAGTCAGAATAGTAGCTGTAACTTGTTTGCTTATTCTACACTTATTTTTCTGCCTTCTTGGTTTCAGTGTGTGGGAAGAATGATCAGAAATTTGGCAACTGGCTTTCTTTGAATAAAAATTTCAGTTGGTCACAGGGGTCATAAAAGAATACAGCCAGCTTTTCAAACTGCATCCATCTATTGACCTTTTGCCTGCAAAACTCAGCTGACATTCTCCCTGATGTTCAACTTCGAAATAAATTCTAAACATCAATATGAAGAGGTGTATCTGGCATCACAATTGAGTCATGGAACCAGCGGGTTTTGCTAGCTCTGTGTTAAAATACATACCTAAAACTAGAGTACAAACCAGCATGTGAGGTGGTGTAAAATTCTGCATCAGGTGAGGACCCAAAGCCAAGATGCCATGGGCTACAGTTAGAAATAAAGGCTACAGCCGTATGTCTAAAAAGACTTTTTTTCTGACTCAGATCTCTGATTGAAATCTTGGAACTGTTCTAACTAATTATGATCCCCTTCAGCACTGTGTTTCATGGTATTTGCAAAGTTCACAATTTCTCTCAGACAAATTAACTATGTATAGTTAAAAGTATACTATGCTTGATAGTACTTTCATTTTTAAAATTGTTTTACGTTTGCAAGCTCTGCAGGACTTTGTACACCAGTTAAAATACTTCTGTATATGCAGATCATAGGTTGTTATGTTAAGCTATATCCTCTAGGGATGCTCTCAAACTGTAGATTAGGCCCACCAGCACTGTTCAAAGCTGCCACAGAAACTCTCAAAAACCGAATACATTTAGAAAGGCGCTGTAAAAACAAATAACTCTCCCTCTGCATCTGGGCTTATGTATGTGGAGGAGAAAAAGGTAAGATTGCCTAATCATCACTTCTTAAGAAATGGTGAATGAGAAATATGGTGTCTGTGTGGGTGGGTATTTATGTGTGTATGGAACATGTACAACTATATTATGTCACAAAGCGTGGAAAAATACAGCTGAGAGCGAGCTTGTATGGTCCAAGTTCATGCAATTTTGCAGTATTTTTTAACGTATCTTGTTATGTTTGTGCTCCTATTTGCACTTCATTTCAGAGGTTATCTACTGAAACTTTAGGAGCAAGCAGAAGTGTGGTATGACTCACCAAGTGACATTTTGTAAATACTCCTACTCAGAGAAAAGTTAAACCTCTTAAAAATATGTATGAAAAAAGAAGCATTTCAGTTACTCAGTATTAGGTTTTTTGCATTATTACAGTCCTGAGAGATGCTGCTGCTCTGTACCATACTGCAGATATGGGAGAAATAATCTAATCTATTTCAACAGAGAAATTAGTATTTGTTAGTATGAGACCGATGGAGGTAAATTCTGTTGTCCAAATTTCTTGCAAGTAGAAGTTCTAAACTGATGAAGACTTCTGAGCTGCATCTTCTGAAATAAACCCCTGGTATTTTTATGTT